CATTCTTCTTTACAAGTTCTTCTTTCAATTTCTAATTTAAACTTGTATAGTATAGTATTTGCACAATTAAAGATATATTAAAATTAAATTTATTTAAAAAATTATTATCATTAATGAGATTTCATAACTCATTTGCGTTCCAGAAAAATCATAGAAGCAAAGAGAGACAAAGTCTTCGATGGAGTCCGACCGTGGAAGCGTTAGCTCGCATAATGGATGTCCACAACGACGGGAAGGATGATGAAGAGAGGAGAGGGAGGGCAAACGACGAAGAGCACGACTACTATGAGAGAGGAGGCGACATCAGGGGGCGATAAGGAGCCGGCAGAACGGATGGAGGAACTCCCCGACGAGCGGGCGGCAGGAGGGAAGGAAGAGAGGTGGCAGTTAGGATATGAATTATGACGTGGTGCGAGCGAGAAAGACGAATCGAGTCGGTCGCGTAGGTCGTTACGAGGCTCGAGAAGGGAAGCGCGAAGGTCTGCCGGAGAAGTAAAAGGCAAAAAAGTGCCGTTCGCAACGATACACGGTATTGCGGGGAGAAAAAAAGGCAGTCCCCGCTAAACGAGCGCACCCCCGACGATGACTGTGACGATGACGACGACGAGTGACGAGGAACGTGCTAACCGCGACGAATGGCTTTCGAGCCGGTATATACCGAACGGGAGAATTTAGTACCAAAAATCAGTAGGTTGTACATATGGATGTGTACCAGCGCCGATGGGGAGTCCGTATCAAAGTGTTAAGGTCGTTTGCCATCGGTAACCAACCGCGACTTGTCGACGTTGATCATGGCAACTTGAATTTTGCAGAGAACTCCTCAACCTTTTTGTATACACTGAGAAAAATGTTCTGGTTAAACCAACAAAAAGACCCAACCAGAATGGTATTGTGAGGCCAAACAGAATTTCTGGTTATGGTAACCAAAATTAATTGTGCCTTTCAATCAACATATATTAAGTAGGTTTTACAAATGCAGTGTCAGAAACTGTGTTATAGATTTTGACGTCAACTGCAGAGAGATAATCAAATGTAAATGAAATGGGGAAAAAAAATTGGCCATTTTGTTGGCGTTGGAATTGCTGGCACCATTCATTCTTTCCACCTGCATTCTATTAATGTTATTAATATTCTTGTCTTATCTTATTGCCCGCAACTATTTCAGTATGTCCCTGCTCGTATATCCCTGTAAGCTCATCAACTATCTCTCCGGTGCGGTCTTTTTAATATATCGCCGATTCCGATCTTGTCAACAACTGTAGCCTCCTTTTTCACCGAATCTCGGGGGGCTTGTCTCACATTCTAAACAAGTCATATCTACCTATCCATCTACCATGCAACATCCACCGTCGCGCTCGACTGCATTTCTACGTCACTAACGCGCATTCCACAATACACCTCTGTCCTTTTCCGTCTTCTTGCTCTTGTTTGACCACGGCGCCCACCGTCGACGTTCGCGATGATCGCCCGCTGCTTCCTTTGCTCTCCCTCTACCCCGCTTTTACATTCTACCCCGTCTATTTTCGAACTCGTTGAAAAGCCATGGAGACAGCACTTTCGCACGCGCCGCCATGTTCGCGAACGCTCATCCTGATGTGTCAGGAAAATTCAAGGACTTCTCGCTAATTTGTCGTATTCATATTCTTTGGCCCAATAGACTCATTTTCTTCAACTACCATGTTGTGAAACATTGCTTATAATAAATATTTTTCATTTAACTTTCAGTTACATAATTCTACATTCAATTACATTAATTTTAAGCAAAAATACTTTAATTTAAACTAAAGTCTATTAAAATATAATGGATCTATGAATATGATCAGTTAAAGAAATTTCGGAACAAATACTGATTAGTGCTTATTAGTAATTAGTGAAAAATCAGAGAGAGAGAGAGAGAGAAAGAGAGAGAGAACACCGATTGAAACACAAGGAATTAGAGAAAGCTAACACGAAAGAAAACCTTTATATAAATGTGAAATCCTCCGGCAAATCTGCCAACAGTTATAACAAGTTACATGAAACTTCTCTCCGCAGGCCGTGACTTCCGCTCAGCACGAATTGGCATGAAAGAACGTGCTGGCTATCATCTTGAAGAAACCTCGACGATCGAGATGACGATCGGTCGACGACATTCAACTCTTCAGGAAGATACGAAGTAAAGAGAGAAAAGAAACGGCGACACACGGGCGAATGGAAGAAGCTCGGAGGCGACGAGGAAACCGCAAAGAACGATAATGATGAGACGAGAGGACGCAGAAAGCGAGAGGCACAAAAGAGAGGACGCCGTGGAAGAGAAACTGGCCCGAGGTAATTGCCGGGGCGTCTCTTCGCACCTCATCATCATCATCAACAGCCGCGTTGCCCTCGTCGTCGTCGTCGTAGCCGTCGAGGGTTCCTGGGACCACCCGTTAGAGTCACCGACGCCGTCGATTTTCGTCTGCATCGGCAGACGAAGCGTGCTGTCTTCGTCAAAAGCTTCGTCGAAAACGACAGTCTAGGCGAAGCGTTTCGCAATGGTCGGACAACACGGATAATGATCGAAGGATACCCGATACTTACACGAGACACTTAATTATATCAAGTCACGCTAGATTTGGCGGATCGTCGCTGTTTCCTATAATTCTAATTAAAGATTACTGTCACATACATTTTGTGTATGTTAAAATTATCTATCTCAAAAGCCAAGATATTTTTAATATTTTCTTAAGGAGATCCTAAAGCCGCCTATATTACCGACTAATCATATAATTTTTGTATAACAAATACTTTTTTCTCTTTCACAGATTCGAAAATCCTTTTCCGGGATTAAAGTATACGCATTAATACGTGTTTGTAAGATGGAGTTTATGCCGAGAGACGACCAAAAATTTCGAAATTGATATATTTTTTACCATTTCTGAGTGTAACATGGCGCCTCAAGCTGTCAAATCGTGACAACAATTGCTTGATATAAATAAAATTGAAATTTAAAATAACGTCGAGTTTTTAGAATTAGACTTAGACACTTTTTATCGAGACGAATTTGTTATATAAAAATTGACACGAATGTATCATAGGTTGCGTGAGATATTGGTGTGGTAGTATATACCGACATGTCGATGCGCTGGAAAAACAGCAACATCTAGTGATTTTGTCGGAGTTCGAACTTCGCTTTAGGATCCTCTTAATAGGAAAATATAAAAGTATATAATATTTGAAATTTCCAAATAAATGTTACACACACAAAATAATTAATTTAAATAAAACACAAAAGAAATTATTTACGTAAAATAAAAATGCAATCTTTTTACAGCATATTTTTTTTAACATTTTTGTTCTTGAAACAGAAACAAGTATCAGATCGCACCATAGGATTATTCTCCGCAATTATTTGTTACAAATTGCTTTCCAGGAATTAAAGCGAAGAATTTCGCTCGAATCGAACTCAAGCTGTGCGTTCTCCCTCTGAAAAAAAAGCATGTCATCCCTCAAGGGGATCCACGACCGCCGTGCTGCTTCTTGCGGCAATAAGAAGAGAGATCGATTAAACGGGACTGGGATAAGCATCGGAAACGATGCCAGATAGTTGTCCGTTGTCGCCTCTGAGGATCATAGATCTTACCTACGTCGAGGTCCGAAATTCCAGCCGCCGTTGCTCTGAGAGGGGACGACGAAACTCAGCCTGCTCGACGGCGCGGCGGCGATGGCGGTGGCGGAACGAGACGCGCCGCGACGCTCATGGAATGCGAACGACGCTGACCTGGACCACACATGACGCCGCGGTCGGCTTTAAATGACTATCGTGAAATACGATAATGCTCCGTCGTTCTCGTGCGCTGAACACGAAATCTGAACTTGGACACGGAAGACGGCTCGCCGAGAGGTCGAGACTATCACTGGCACACGCGGCATTTTCTTTACGATCGTTTCGACTGTTGCAAGTGTGCCTTTTGGTAGTTGCATGCGCCCTAACAATGACGAACCTATTTGAGGAGTATCGCGTTCCTAGTATAGGTACATCTGCTAACTCGTTCTGTATGTCACCTACTACTTAATAAATCTCGAAGAATATTGCTCCCTTACTTTAAAAGTGACAACTCAAACAATTTTATTTTTTATAAAAAAAATTGGAGAAACTGTTTTTTTCAATTTGACAAAAAATTATTGATTAATCAAATTATCAGCAAAAACAACTTTTAAGTATATATTCAATTTTTATACTATATTATTTATATATGTTACTAAATACATAAAAAATAAAATTATATTGATTCAAATTCAATACGTCATAAATTAATGGAAAATACATCTTCATATAAGTTTTAAAATAGAAAATCATTATCAAAGGGGGTTAAATGACAATGAGAAAAAAAAATTAAGTACGTAATATATACACTAAAAAAAATGATATTATATCAACAGTATTATTTTAATTGAAAATAATCTTAACAACGGTATTAATAAGACAAATAAAATTTTATTAAAACAAGAACATGACGTATTTGTATCATTAATAGTGTTATTGAATTAACCAAATTTTCAATTAAAATAATGCTGTCGATACAACATTTTTTTTCAGTGTAGATTATAAAAAAACAATAAAAACTATAAAATCCGTATAATATTTTCAATATACAAAATAAGAAACGAATAATTCTCTCAATAAGTAAGTAGCGTATCCACGGCATTCTCGATACGCTAGAGTAGCATATTTGCGGCACTCGTTAACGTCGACGTATCCGCGAGGTGTTACGCCAGTGTCTTCGCACGGTCGCTCGTTCTCGACAGAAACGATTATCGAGGATGAAAGAGAGCCGCGGCAAGCGAAATGGAGGAACCAGTCCTGTGCGGTCGAGACGTGGTGAGACGCGGAGGACCGGAGGCGACCGGACGATCGGACGGACGTTACGGGCCAGTCGTGTTAAGGAAAGACGAAGCGTGCGGGGCGCGAGAAAGAGAGCGAACGGGCAAAAAGAAAGGCAGGAGTGCGCAACGGTAGCGAGAAACAAAGTGAAACTTACGAGCTGATTCTGATAGGCGGTGACAGCGGTGAATATGGCCTCCGGGAATACGAAGGTCTTGTGCGGCTCCTTCTCGAGGTCCACGATCGGCTTCGTCGAGCCCGAGTCTGGCCGCTTCACCAGGTGGATCCTCGGCTGGTACTTATGCATGGAGTTCAGCACCAGCTGCAAATTAATACAAACTGACTGTAGACTCGACATACAACGAATGGCGTAAAGTCACACAAGAAAATGTTGATGTACGAATGATTTTACAATGTATGGAGATTACATTTGCATTTAAAAAAAATATCATGTCTATATAGAGAAATACATTGTTAAAGTTATAATGTCAAATTATATTCAATTTGAGTTATTTTTAATCATTTCTATGGGTTGCAACTGCTCCTACTCAATATATTGTTAATTTAATTAAAACAAAGGAATTAAACAATTTAACTCGAGAAATATATTAAATTTAACTAAAATTTATTATTTATTAAATGCATACATTAATATGAAATTGTTTACTTTGAAATATTAAGCAATTCTATTACAAAAATGAATTGATTTATATTTTTACACATATGGAAATTAAAAATGACAAAATATTATTTAAAGCAATGTAAGGAATTGACTCAGTTAATTCTTCCTGCATTGTTAGGTATCAAAGGAGTAATGGTAATCCATGGATTAAAATCAACCAAATAAAACATTTGTAAATAAACGCTTGATTTTCCAAATAAATATTTCCTCGGATGGAACTTTAATAATTATTTGTATAATTTAAAACGCTTTTGTCTTGTTAAATAAAAATCAAATTTAAACAAATTCATTAAGTTAAATAACGTTTTGTTATTTAATTTTCAAGTGCATCAAAGTGTATTATTTTAATACGAAGATGTAGTTAAAAAAACAACTACATCTATAAATCAATTCATTTTTGTAGTTGTTTATTTTAGTTTATTTTAGTTGAACTGTTTTAGTTAAATTAACAACATTCAGTAGGAGTAATGGCGCCTACAGAAATGATGAAAAATAATTCAAATTGGATATAATTTGACAGTGTATATCTGATCTTGTATGTTAAATGCATAATGCCATAAATATGTCAACCATTTATGATCTTCAATTTTCGACACGCTATGTTTTTTACTATATTATTTATAAATTATCGTTTTCGCGACGTAAAATTTAGACGACTGTTCCTTCTCAAGTCGTGTTATAATTCAAAGAGACGAATGAAAATAACATTGTGTAATCGGGAGATCTCTCGACGCAAAAATCGCAGGTGTCCGATTTCGTCCAATTAAAGCCGTAACTACTCGACTCTAACCAAATTAACCGAACGATTCGACTCGGACGATGTGAATATCGTCGAACAAGTTTCACGCGTTTCTTTATGCTTCGCATTTTCATGCAACCCTTATTTCAAAGGGTACCATTAGATATTCTCAAATCGCTGACAGCTCATCTTTTCCCGGTGACGAAGACGCGAGATTACATCGAGTTTCACGTTGCGTTGACTTTGGTCGTTCCGGGTTTTGAATCGGCGACGAAGCCGAGGGCATGCGATAGCATTAACAACAACGGCGAGGATCGGCCGTGCGGGAAGAAAAAGCGTATGAATTAGGAGCATCTCGGCCGGGCGCGCTCCCCGTTACCGTTCAAAAGAATCACTTTGCTCGCGTCTGGCAGCGTGTAATACCCTGAATACAAAATGAGTACCGTGAAGAAGCGCTGCCCCGATCAGAGTTCCTATTTACGTCAGTCATCCGATGAATTAAGGGCCCCGATGCGCCGGCGAGAAAGAGGAGCTCGGGCTGACAATGAGACGGAGGAAAAGGGAGGAGGCGGGAGGGAATTGAAAGAAGAGCGAGGTGGGCGAAGACGCGGCTGAGATTCCCGTGTCTTATGACAAACGAGACAACGGACTGTCAAATTATCCCGTGGAGCGACTAAATCGCGCTATGATGAAATTCGTTTTATCGGCGTCATTTTTATCCTTTTTGTAAACGAGACGTGCGGTGGGTCGCGAGGTTGCTTGAATTTACGGTGATGACATCCTTGATGACTTTTTGATTTTAAAGCAACGTGAGGAATTAACTCAATTAATTCTCTCTCTCTCTCCCCCCTCTCCCTCCCTTCCTTCCTCCCCTCCCTCTCTCTCTCTCTCTTTATAGACACAATGATATTCCTTCTAAATGCGAATGTAATCTTCATCATATATAACGTTGAAAAATCACCCGTATGTCATCACTTCATTTTCGTGTAACTTCACGCCTTTCAAAATTCTCATAAGCGCTTGGCAATGTCATCACTGTTGAACTTTACAGCTGCAAATTCCTTTATGTAAAACCAGTCGTGTCACACTATGTGTGTAGTTATAGAAAAAGAAAATTGTCCGGAGAAAAATGTATTTCGAAACGGTGCAAAATGTGAAAGGTAAGATAAACGTGGTGTAAAAGCTTTAAGCGACGAGGCGAAATGCCGCCGTGTTGCGTTCCACTTTGCTGAACTTTGTTGAACCTAACAATCGATGCCGGTCGACTTATTAATGCAACAACCGGAGGACGCGGTAGGCGTGCACTCGCTGTCTTCGACGCCGACAATGTCGTACTTTTAGCCACAGCTGCGCCGAGTAACGTGTAAAAGTTTAATGCGCGAGTTGTCTCGAGACAGCTACGTCTGCCCGTCCCCATCGCGAGAAAAAACGTGGAAAATTCTTTATCCGTCAGAAAACGTCGACAGTTCAATAGAGTTCTCACATTGCGCGGCAATTAAAGTTAGCTAAACGAGATGTGCAAAAAGATACTATTTTTTTTAATTAAATTCTTTTTTGTAGAATCTTGTTCCTTCAGCTACGGAGATTTAGAGAATTTTTTAATTACACAAAAAAATTGATCTTAAAAGAAAAAATTTCTTTTCACGATAATTATGAGCTTTAATCATAATCATAATAATTTACTACATTTTCATAATTACAAATATCAATATATTAAATATCGTTTCACACAAATTGAATATAGTTATGTATTTAAATCGGCATTTTTTAAAAATAATTTAGAAAAAAATATTAGGAAGATTATATAAATATTACTAAATAAAATATTATAAAATAATTATAATCGCTTTTCTTTTTTCACATAAAAATATAATCAATCTGTTTCTATCATTTCTATAATAAACACTTTCTAACATTTAAACCTGGAGGTAAGAAAGGAGCAACTTTTGATCTTATTTCATTTTACTTGTCACCGGTTCGCAGATCATTCAGAACGGTGGCACGGCACTTTCGGAAGATCAATGCGCGTTACTACGTAAACGCGCAATCGAGTTATTCATCTTGCAGTTGTGAGAACTTAATAATAAAGGTCGATTTTCGTGGTGGTCTGACAAGTGTCACGAGAAATTAACCGGATGCCTCTGTGCGAGAAATAGACGGTTGAACGAGGCTTATTAATTAATTAATTCAATAAGAAACTTAACACATCCGTCGCAACGTGAATTGGAATCTGCACCTCGTCTTGCTTTTTATAGCGAGCTGATATAGAAACGCCGGAAGTACAAAGATAATTCATACAAAATGATCAGCGCTGAACTGCTAAGTTTTTATTCACAGCTTCATTGAGTTTGAAAATCTAATTTAATCAGCGACACGAAACTAATACGTTTTCCGTCGTTCTTCCTCTGATCTTTACTTATTCAACATCTTTCGAAAATTGACAGAAATTATCATAGCAATTCAATTATTGTGCCAATCTGCGCAAACTCGCAGTTCAGCGATTGAGCTTAATGAGACAGGACGGGGGATGGTAAAGTTTTTCTAAAGATACTCACGTGCCCATGCCTGTCCATATCGTTGTTAGTGAGCTTGACTTTCTCAAAGGAGACGACCTGCTTTCGGAGCTGCTCGCCCGTGAAAGGTGAATCCGGATGGACGTAGAGTCGGGCTGGCGCCGGCGGATCCGCCTTTCCGGCCACCAACCAGCAGCTCCTGTGATATGCGTACCGATACCTTTTATTGTCGACCGGTACAATATCCATCAAGACTGCGTATCGGCTGTCCGCCTTCAACCCGTTGAATGAGACACGACACGTTGGAAACATCCGCCTGCGCAAACACAAATGTATATCCTTGGTCAAAGAAGAGGTCTGTAGAATTCGAATTAAATTTAAAACATTTCATTTTTAAATAATTTCCAACTACTAGCAATTGTCGTTTGAATTAGTAGCAAGTTTATTTTTGCAGTTACAGAAATCGAAGCCACACAATAAAAAAACACATTTTGTATTTGTGTTAAAATCGGTCCTTGTTTAAATTTTTGGATTAAATTTTTATTTGAGCGTTAATTTAACATAATGTGATTGTGTTATTTGAATATTTTTATGTTAAGTTGATATTCAACTTTTTAAAATGACACAATTGATAAATAATTGAACAAATAACATAAAAATAATATTTTCGAACGTAAAATTTAAGATAAATGAATAAAATATGTTAATTTTTAACATATTATAAATGTTATAACTTAAAAATATTACAAGTATTTGATATATTATAAATGTCAATTTTACTCTAACGTGTTGATTTAATGTATTACCTATGAATGTTAATTTTACTAAAGAAATACACTTTTACAATTTGCATAGAAATTGACAATGTTATCTTATTTGTGTTAATTTTTTACATAATATTTGTGTTACTTCCTAACATATTCATCTTGTTAAATTAACATAAAAATTTTGATAGACCATTTGGGACATGAAGTGTGTTAAACTTAACAGAAATTTTCCAATTGTGCACAAATCTTTAAATTGTTAATAATTAATTCCCGACTCGATACAGAATCCATAAACTGTCTTCTGACAATTCTGTTATAAAACAGTTCCTAAAATAACGTTTATGACTGTTAGGTAAAATTAACTGAGACTTGATTAATTAATTCTTCGTCTTCTGCTAATGACGGAACTAGAAATCTCTTTCGATATTTTTGATAAAGGAAAAGTGTCGCATTTTATCAAACAATGATCCAGGATGATTCGCGATAATTTTAGGGTTGACCCGTTCATGATCATCGAAGGGGCAAGAAGAGAATAAGCGAAGAAAGGGGGACGACAGGGGCGAGAGGGAGATGGGCCCGGACTGGGGATTAGTGGTAAGGGGTCCGCGGGGGCAGGAGACCTGGCGTGAATGTTTTGCCTCGGAGGCCAAACATTAATACCGTGTCGGGCCCCCCGCTGCTCGACCACTAAAACGCGGGGACACCCGCCGATCTTATCTACGTCTTCTCCTCGGTCCTTGTCGACTCGGTATGCATTCATCCCGCCAGCGCCACGAGTGTGAGTAATGCTTTTATTTATCAAGCCGTCTTTTGTTAATGAATTGAACGAGGGAGAAGGTGGGTCCTTACCCTCTCGCCACATCACCCTCCTGCCCCTTCTTCCTCATTTGTGCCTGATTTTCAATCCTCCCCTCCCCCCTTTCGCGCGACCATTTTTCTCGTGACCGCGGGCACAAACTCTGAGGATGCCTGCAACTTTTTTTCCATCGGATTATCCACCAAATTCCCGTCCCGCCGCGAAGATGGTGACTTTAAGGATGCGCCTGAAAACTCAGTCTGAGCATCGGGAATGCAAAAATTCGTAAAAATAAAGAATATAGATAATCCTTTAGATATTCTATTAATATATTTACTGTTTTGCATGATCAATAATTTCGCATTTTTACAACAGAAATTGCATAAAGCAAAGTTAAAAAATTCATGTGTACAGTGTAAGTAAGAAAATTGAACTCCGCCCTGAAAATCTCTAAAGACGGCGAGAAGCGTAATGGAAGAAAGAGAAGAGGTCGCCGGGGGTAGTTCCAGGATTGCCTAGTGGAAAGTCTAAGGGGCGATAAAGGGGCGGTAAGTTGACGGCTGAAGGGAGCGTCGACCAATGTCGCTAAGACGCAGATCTAATTACCGACGCACGAGTAGGCGCGCACCCGGCTGGAGGAACGAATCCCCCGCAAAAGGGGGAAACCTACGACGAATAAAGAGCAGGGATGTTGCCAGTCGTGGCGGGCAATTAGGCGCGCGTCGACCGCGTCGTCCCTCCCATCTTTTCCGCCTCCTTTCTCTTCCGGAAAGTTTCCTTGAGAATCTCGTCAGTGTTTTTCTATGCGACCATCCTCGCACCCCATCTTGTTAAATCGTTGCCTAGGGCTGGCGACTTTAATTCTTCTTATGAAGATCTAATATTTTGTTTCATTCGCGAAAAAAAATATTGCAAATGCATAAAAAAAAGAATTTTGGTTATAAACTGCACAGTTGGAAAATTTTTATTAAATTTAACACGTGTTATGTTCTCAAACGGTCCATCTATTATAAATTTTTGTGTTAATTTAACACAAGATGAATATGCTAGAATTTAATACAAATATTACGTGAAAATTAATACAACACATGTAATACTTTAACACAATTTGGAAGTATATCTCCTAAGTGGAATTAACATTTATAATATATTATATATGTATTAAATTAATACATATATTCATCTTTTATTCATTCATTTTAGAATTTACGTTTTAAAACTACATCATGTTATTTGTTTACGTACTTATACACTGTGTCATTTAACACTGAGAAACGTTAAAAATCAATTTAACATAAAAATTTCAAAACAATCATATTATATTAAATTAATAACCAGATATGCTAAAAATTAAACACAAAAATTTTATCAAGAACTTTTAATAAGTTTACTGTATAAAATAAAATATAAATTGTCTATGATGATATAGAAATAAATTTTAACTTGTAGCGCAATTTAATAATCAATCAATAAACAGGATTTTACATGCTATAATTCGCTGTGTTATTTTTATCCTTCTTCTTAAGAATGCCTATCGTAATTATGTCAAAAATACATTTCTTATTCTACGATCAATTCGCCCCGTAGGACGTCACATCAGTACAAAGGACTATTCTACGTCGATAGTTAACTTCGTGTCCAATGTTAGCATTTCCGTCGTTAAGTCGAAGATATATGTTTGAGAAGGTGGTATATCGCGAAGCCTCGAGACAAACCGCGAACATAAAACTTCTCGACTGCCTTCCGCGAATAGGCAGCCCCTGAGAGGTCCTCCCTGGACTTCTCCCCTCACAGTGTGATCCCACTCGAATCCTCACGCCTCTGGTCGCCACCGCTCGTCCCAAGGACCCTTATAAACTGGCATAAGCTCGCCCGGTTTCTACACCGGCTCGACTAATTGACTGACGGTCAATATAGCAATTTAACCCGCCAGCTTGCCACCAGCTCGTTCTCCGCTTTTTATTCTTCTACCTCCCCTCCTCCCGATCCCTTCCTCTTTCCGTCTATGCCCCCTGCGCTCAGGTAGTCTTAACTCTTTCACAGTTTTATATTACTGGAGTATATTTGTGTGTGGCGTTCTTATCCTTTTATTTGTACGATGTATTGCATTATGTTACTTTCTTGTTGTTCGCAATTGAATTTGTTTACTTACAAAGAGGCGAGCAAGCGGAAATGTTGCAAGTGTACACGTATGTTAAGCTTACATTTCACCTAGCCGATCACTCGCTGCGTTTTTATATTCCCGAACCAATTGAAAAGTTTCATGTTTAAGTTTTTATTATTTTCTTTCCTGCCGTTTCCGAGTTCGTGATCCATACCACGTCTATAGCTTTTTTTATTCACGATCTCCAGCCACTTGTTAAATAACGTCGGCTTACCGCAAAATAGATAGTTGCATCGATCTCACTAATATTCTCGCCAATTTTCTCTTTCTCTTACCTCTCTCTCAAACCAATTTTTTTTTATATAAATAAAAATCGATAAGATAATAGATTTTGCTATGTGACAAAAAATTTTCAGTTTTGAAAATTTTATCTTTTGTAAAACAGCGATAAAATCCCTGAGTTCTTTAAATTTACATATTATTTCATTTTTATTATTATACAGTAAAATATCTGTAAGTGTTAAAATAGATTCCTGTTAAAATTTTTGTGTTAAATTTTTAACATGTCCGATGTTAATTTAATGATATTATGTTGTTTGTGTATTTTGTGTTAAATTGTTATTTAACATATTTTAGTGCAAAGATAATACAATTTATAAGTAAAACAAATACAAATAATGTATTTTAAAACGTAAATTCAATAATAAATGAATAAAATGTATATTAATTTAATATAAATGTTAATTTTACTGAAATGCATTAAGTTAATACATAAATTAATTAATTTATAATATGTAAATTTTACTAGAAAGAAATATGCTTCCATAATTTGCTTACAAATTGTGTCAGCGTTATATTCCTCCGTCCTCGTATTAATTTTTTACATAATATTTGTGTTACTTCCTAACATTCATATTATGTTAAATTAACATAAAGATTTAGTTAAATCGTTTAGGACATGTAATATGTGTTAAATTTAGTACAAATTTTCCAACTGTGTACTCTTTACTCACAATCAGATTTGAGTTGTAAAGCAGCATTATTGCTGATACGCCGCCTATTGTTTGTGCAACTTCTAATTCTTTTGCGTCTTTTATCTTACTCTTTCTATAGTTTACAAATGCACATCAATAAAGTTATTATTATTTATATTTTATTAAAAGTTGTAAGTTATAATTTCTATATCACGCATTATAAAGGATTGATTTCAACAAACTTTTAGACTGCTGATTGTTCCGAGAATAATATCGTTTTTTCCCCCGTTTCTCCTACCTAATTCCCGCGATTAAAGGATCGCAATTTCAATGCGATTAGGACGTTTGCTTATGTTTCGATGTAACGTGTCAGGCGAGTGACAGCTTGCTCAGGGTAACGACACCTCTCGCCCTAACCCTAGCCTGTTTCTATCGCCGGGTTCCCCCTCGGGAATTTTCGTGGGTGTCGCGACGTGACCCGTGGCAGGACGTGATTGAGTTTGCAGCGACATCGCCCCGGGGGCGACGGCGGTTTCGGGACTAAAACCGAAGGGGTGAGCGGCCACGAGTAATGAGAAAGAGTCAATCGCCCCGATGTTGTCCAGGAGAGAAATTCAGCCTGCGATGCATTAGCGGTACATCGTCCCGAGGGAATTCTTCCCTGGAGCATCTGGTTGCCTCGGGAATCGCATTTATCCCTTCTTCCTCTTTTTTTCCCCTGTTCCCCTCGAGAAATGAGTCTAGAATTGTTTCTGACTGCGATCCATCGATTAATCGTTGTGAAATACGCACGAGACTAATCTTTCTATCTCAGCATCAATGATTACATGAATAAAATAATAATCATATCTCAGGCTTCCATGTATTGTTACACGCAATTCTAGATTTATCGTTTATTATATCAACTTTGGCGCTGGCGGAGATAACTGCAGATTGCGATTTATATGTATATATTACGGAATCATGTTACACAATAAAGAATTATGTAATATATATTCATCTAACACTAAAAATAAAATAGACTTCAAAATTAAAATCATGATATATAATAAAAAAAACGACTCAATTATAATAATTAATAATTGTACGATGTCGTTGAACTTGAATATATCCGACAATCACTTGCGATCGCGTGATTAAAATTTATCGATATCTATCTAGAATGCCTGCGGCAGTTATCTTCGATACCGACAAATAAATCAGCGTTACAATCCAGATAGCGATCATCCTTTCAGGCAGCGGAAATCGATAATTTGATGTACTTTGACCTTACCTGCCAGTCTTTGTGATGATCATCTCCGTGCCGAGCTCGTTGAATTTATCCCAGAGATCCTTGGTTTCGAGGTGGCACACCACGTGCCTCAGCTCCTCGCAATTCGAGCGTTCTTGGAGCAGAGGATTCGTCACCGGCGAAACACCGTTTCCACTCGTGCTTCCGGTATCGTCCGTTTCCGGCTCGTCCTCCGGATTGATCGTCTCCGAGACTGGCGGGGCACCTCGAGCGACCCCAGAACCGCTGGCTTCCCTTTCTGCAATCCATGTTTTCGCAATGTTCGGTATAAGTATTAATATCGTACGCGACATAAAAAAAAATTTAATGTATATCTATAAGCTCTGTAATGCTATATAATACCGAATTATCCTCTCGAGAACGTAAACTCGTCGCCGCGTCATTACTATGAATTATTATCCACCTCGTGCAGCCGCGGTTTTTATTCGCCATCAGCGCGCCGCTGTACACGGCTACACAACCGGAAACGACCGCGAGAGGGAAACCGCTTCCGGCACGATCCGATATAAAAATCGAGGATCGCTGAAGCGTAGTAAAACCTCATTGCAAGCAAAGGCAGTCGAGCTTAAGGACCGGCATTTATCACTGCCGTGTCATTGACGCTCGTTTTTACCCGTTCAGAAGTCACTAAAATAGCAAACGGCGAACGGGAGTTACCGTGAATGAACCGCGCTCGATGAATATTTAAGAGCCGTTCAATTACAGTTATATTTCGCCGTTCGTTCCCCGTTCCGCGACGATGTTTTTCTTGCGCACCGGCGATACTTTCGCCGCTTCGCGCGGCGAGCGAAATTAAAAACGAGACTCCGTCGATTCGTAATTTACGAGAGGGCCGCCCATTACCGCAAATCGTTATTAATTTTGTCCGAACGAGCCGACATATTGCGATAACTCGATTCTAAATTACGCATATACGAGTCTCGACACCGATTAATACCTATCTCTGTATAACGCTTTTATGCCGCGCCGCATCCTACTTGCTACTCCGAACCTGCGAAGTTTTTTCGACCTTTCTCGCAAGAAAATTCTCGCATTTACATACATGTGTGGACGTTAATGAAAAATCGCTTTCGTGACACGCAATTATTTATCATTTATTCGACAACTTTATTAACGGAATAATGAAGAAAGGGAGTGTCTTTGATTAAGATTTTAATCGAAAATTGAAGCTGAAAATGGTAAATCGAAATGAATTGAAACGATGCCCTGTTTGGATTTCGTGTCGCGAGAATTGAATACATAATATAAAGTTATAATATTAAAGAGTTTAAACAAAAACTACAATATCAATAATGATGCGATATACATAAACGTTTTATCTACTTTAATTAATCCAGTTTAAATTCTTGTTTTCACTATTAAATAAATCTCAAGATATCATCGGACAATTTTTATTGTGCAGCGCGGAAATAAGATCGTATCGCAGTCGTGTCAAAGCACTTGAAAGTATACGGCACGAGAGGTATAAGGTTCTGAGAAAATCACGTTGATTAAAACGACTCACTTGATTAATACCGCAAATTAACTCGGAGACGCCGCGTCTTATTGAGGCGTTTTATTTCACGTAGATCGTGCTAATCTCTCGCGTTTATACGCATAAACGTTTACATACACGCCGATTCAGCGTAGCGTTGTGCACATATTATAGTTACACATTCAATCACATCGACGTAAATCTAAGTGTAATCCATTTGGCGGTGGTTATAGGTATCCAGCTATCGATGATAATATATCGTTGGCGATAAGCAGATTCCTTCGACGGTTCGGCATCGCGATCGATTATAAATAACGCTGTGAACGTTCCACGCGAGAAAAGTCAGCTTTACAATTATATTACGCAGATTGTTTCCGATTTTAATGACGCAAGAGAAAAGTAATCGGTTGATAAAGCGACGTATTGCCGTCGACGGTGATTAATCGTTGCGCCACGACGCATAGGCGACAGGAAGTCAAGCTCTCTTTTTCAAGATACTTACACGCGAATTTCTACAGGATGTGATTGTACGACGCGAAGATTGAACGCTTGACGCATGTAACTCGCCGATGCAAAGAGTTAATTTTGTTTTAACGATCTTCAACCATTGTTAAGATAAACATAATCGTTAAGGGATAAAACTTGAATTTTAAAAAATTACAATTGGCATATATAAAATTGATTTCATTCGCACGATGAAACAGAATAAATTTTCAACATCGATAATTCGTAGTTTGCGCAACGTAAACCACATCGATGCGAAAATATCCTGAGACGATTCTTTAATAAATTTACTGGCACTTTTTTTTCGTAACTTTCCGATAAGGGCCTTCTCCGCGCACGCAGTTGAGATCAGAGTTATTTATATCTAACGGGAATGTGAGACCAGCATCTGCCATTTTAACAGGTCCCTTCTTCGCGTAATTCGCGGACACGTATTTACCACGTGCGCCTTCGCGTTTCCATGGTAAGAGCCGTCGTTGTACTCGGGGAAACCGTAATAAACTTCGTAATGGGCAGTTACGAAGTACCGACCTGGCTGGTATGTCAGGTGCCGGCTATCAATTTTGCACGTTGATGCCGCGCGCGCGAGGAATTAATTGTCCATTCGGCATAAGACGAAATCCGGCATCGGTATTATAGCCTCGCTTTTCCGGTTTTCTCTCTGCGAAAATCCGTAATTGATCGCCGTGTACAAGCCCGCAGTATATATACTGTGCACGTTTCTCTTTCTTTATCGGAAAATAAGCACGTAAAGAAAAAAGAAAATTTTAACGTCGCGTCGGTAAGATAATACGAACCGATTACAAGTCGAAGGCAGGATGGAGGCACCGCACGAAATATAAATAAATATGTAAATTATTGTATTGGCTGCCAAATACAATTTTGTATTTTTTAAATATTGAAAGAACGATTTTTAAATTTTTGAAAAGATTTAAATTTTGCAGGTCTGAAAACTTCTAACAAAATTATTTTGATGGTTCAATATTTCTGATCTATATATCCAGCAAAATTTTAGATCTTTCAGCAAAATCATTTTTTCGATCATGTATGATAAAAATATACGGAAAGGATAGTTTTGCTAAAGCATTAAAAAATTTAGCTAGATACAGGTCTGAAAATAATTTTGTTAGACCATTAAAATAGTTATGTAGAACACGCAAACTGATTATTAAAATGTCAAAACTTTTTGCAGCATTGCTTATCGTATCTGAGATTCCCACGTAATTATTTTGACAGTCCAACAAAGATATTTTGAGATCTAGTTAAATTTTTAAATATTTCAGCAAAATCATTCTTTCAGTATATAATATATAAAATATTATTATATATACAAATATAATCAAATATAATATATAATAAATATATGATTGAACAAATATCTCAATATATATTATATACGAGTATCACGATTAACGTCACAACAGTTTGTTCAATATTATTTCAATTTTACACAAATGTGTGTTATGCGTGCGGTGAATTGCTAAATGTAATCGAAATATCCAAGTCACGACTTTTCAATCTCACTTCAGGGTAAAAGCTCACATAGGACAAAAACCACAGAAACAAGGAAGTAACACGGTGGATAAATAAAGTCTCTTGGTTTACCTTAAGTTACTACAGGTTATAATTTCACATACCGCCGCTCTTAGCCGGCACCACGCTAATAACGCTAAACTAAAGCAAGCTTCGTCGTAAGTGGATATAATTATCCTTTTTCCAGGCGCTACTGCGCGATCATTATATTGCTTACATGCCGTGTATGACCGTCGTGCCGTAATCGAGGACATTAGTCATATTACATTTAATAACGCCTAAACCGCGGCAAGACCAGAGGAATGATTCTCGAAAGTTCGGTGATATAATATTGATCGACCGCAAAATTGATTGACGGTAATACGTGCCATGAATTATCCAGTTCGATATGTAAATTATCATCACGTCCTCTGTTATTTCGTTCCGTATTTACATCACACGCATTTTGCGGTAAATGCCTTTTGATCTCTGGTTTACAACTTGCACTTTATACAAAATAGACAAAGAAACAAAATTTCGTTTCACAAAGATATAAACTTTAAAATACCTACTTGAATAACACAAGTACATTTTACTCTTGCATGCATAAAACAGTTTTCCTAGTACAAGTTAATATTATATAAATTATCATAGTGCTTCTTGTGTAAATTAAAATGCATAATGATTATAATCTCTATTTTATTTTATGTATTTCGAATCGCTTCGACCAACTCTTCTGCTTTTTCTGTTGTATCTTAAATGAAATATACGGTATATTTTATAGAGTATCGAAAGTTCGCATTACGATGAATATCGCACATAATGCATAAATTATGTAAATTATCTCTCGATTACAACATCGCCAATTCGCTTCACGAGTGGTATCGCGCATTTATATTTCTTGCTTCTCTATGTCTTTATTACACGTATGATAAATTATATAAAATACGTATACTGAACTTATATCTTCACGAGTTCATAGGCATATTTATTTAAACCGTGCAATATGGGAAAGTGTCTAATGCCGATCTTTGCAGGTTGTTAACCCGCTGCTACTAATTTGTGCCCATATAAATATATAATTCCAAATTTTTAAGCACAATCCGCAAAAGTCATCCGCGAACGATGAACTTTAATTCTTTTTAATGCATATACAGCATATTTCAAAATATTTAATTATATGTAGTTTTTAGTAATCTTTAGTTTTTTTTGGAAAATTTTGAGAATTTTTAGAAAAATGTTTATTGAGCAGTTCCGGAGTTTAATATGCTTAAAGTGATTCTAGAAATAAATATCTCGATAACAAAGCCCGAAGTAAAAAGACTCTAAGAGTCAATAAAATCTCCTGTCGTACACTGAAGAAAAAATGATGTTATATTAACAGCATTATTTTAATTCAAAATTATTTTGTCAATTCACACACACACACACACATACACAAAACACACACAATAGCTCTATTAATGAAACAAATACGTTAAGCTCCTATTTCAATAAAATTTTATTCCTTTCATTAATATTGTTATTGAATCAACAACATTATTTTTAATTAAAATAATGCTGTTGATATAATATCATTTTTTTCAATGTACAGAAAATTACTTTATTAATTATGTCATATGACTTGAAGTTAGTCAATAAGTAATCTTAATTTTGTCAAAGTGATAAAAATGAAAGCGATATTTATTGACTCACCCATGTATATTATTTTATTTTACACAGTTATTTTACATCATCAACAGATATTA